ATTAGTTACTGTTATTAAGTACAGTGGTGATTACTGTGTGTCTTTATGAGTTATTAGTGTTATTAGTTACTGTTATTAAGTACAGTGATCATGTGAACACACACTAACTTATCAAAAGTCTCTCCAGCTGTTAAAGCCGACTGACAGCTGATCAGCTGTGATCATCAGCACCGTCATCAGGAACAGACGTCGCTTCACGTGACGCACCTGAGGAAAAGACGTCTCATGTCTCCTAAAACATGTTTCCTCGTTTCCTCTCTCCTTGCATGGTTTCCTCCATGCATCCCTGGTGGGAGGGACAAAGACGCAAGGAAAGGACCCAAGTGAAGGAAACGAGGATGACATTCACTGTAGTTATGAAGGTCCATCTTTTCTTTTTGTCTTTTTTCTTCAATAAATATGTTAGACAATGTCCTTTTTGAAAATTATTTTGCTCCTTTTTTCAGGAGAAATGTAACTTTCAAAACCAGGCAAGTATTTCATTATTATATGTTATAAATGCTTAAAACAAGTGTGTAATAACAAAAAAGTAAATAAACGGATTTGAATTTTCATCAGTTTCTCTTTATAAACAATTGTAAATGTACATGAACAGAACTTTTGAGATTACAAAAATGAAGTTCAACCTATTTTACATATTCTCAAACAGTTTTGTTTGCCTCGAGCTTTCAGTGTCCATGCTACAGGCTGTTATATTTACTAGATATTGAAAAACATTATTGTAATAAAGCTGGGAATAAATATCCAGTGTATACAAACTGAATTACTTACTGTGGTTGAGATGGCGACATTCCTCCTGTCTCCTATGTCCATCCTCCTCCAAACGTCTGAGGGGACTCTCCTTCCTCTGCCTCGTGGACTCCTCGACATGGTGGCGAAAAAGCCGGCAAAAAAAAACCTCAAAAACTCTCAGAAACAACACTAATACTATTATTTACAACACTACAATATAATCTATGAAGAAAACACCACTAAAACACCTGTGAAACATCGCAGAAACACTTCAACAATAGTCAAAAGCTGTACTCACTCGGAGCTGCTCTCCTTCCTGCTCTGTTCCGCTCACAA